GTGTGTGTGTGTGTGTGAAACGCTTCATGTTTAAACTCTCAAATCTTTACCCCTAAACTCTAAGCTAACAACCTCGAACTCTAACTGGAAACTTCTGACCGTTAGTTTTGACTTTAAACTCCTTGACTGTGAATTGTTAACTCTTTAAGTCTGAACTTTAAACGTCTCCAGTCTAGAAATTGAGTCTTTGGCCCCTAACCCTACAATTTCATCTCCTCAGCCGTTAACTTTAAGCTCTTCACTTCCAAACCTTTAACTTTGAACTCCTTATCGGCGGGGCGGGCTACGGGTGTGATCTGACGTGTTGCGACGGCAAGTGTCGTCTTTTCTTGGACAGCTTGCGGTACGTTGCTAATTGATATTTCGATGTTTTTTCGAGTATGTGGCTGAGCTTCTGCCTGAGTTCATGGTGTCTGGATCGTTCCTCGGGCCCGACGAGACTTGGATTCTGCGATGGGCCCTGCGCTATGTGAGGGTTTTGGAATGTTGCGTTTGTTCGGGCTGCGGCTTTTTACTGGAATCGAGATGATAGTTTTTGATCGTTTCGAGCGAATGCGTGGGCGTGTGTCTGGGTGGTCGTGTGTTGAGCGTTGTCGTGATTGGTGTTGCGGCGTGTTTTGATGCTGAGCAAGAGGCGCGTCGTGGCTGGGAGTGTTGTTGTTTGTGTCTAATTTCGACGGTCTTGGGCTTTCGCGTCTCCAGCTTTGGGTATCGGGCGATCGTTTGGGATGAGGGTATTTGCTGCTGCTTTGGCTAGTTCGTGGATCCGGTCATCCAAGGAGGCGTGTTGCGCTGGTGCTGTGGGAGCGCATGGGGTTGTGTTTCTTGTTTTTGTGGAAAAGAATTGACGCTCGGGGCTCAGCGGTAAGGCGGGGCTAAGCGTCCTTGTAGGCTCATGTCTTCTTGCGTGAGCGCGTGCTCGAGAGCTTAGCCGAAAGTCTGGAAGCTGTACTGTGTCAGTTTGTCGGGCTTTGTTGCGTGTGTGTGTGTGTGTGTTTTTTTTTTCAGTGCGAGGTCTACATAAGTGGTGCTTGAGTGGGTGTTTGGCTGTGCCGGAAGCTCGTTTCACTGTTTCTTGTTGGTGATCCATGTGAGTTTCTGCGTTTGGTAGCCTAGTGGTGGCCTGTCTTTGTCTGCTTGCATGCTCTTGCGTGTGCTCTGGTTTTCGATTCTTTGGTTTGGATCAGGGCTAGTTCTCTTGCGACTTCCGTTGTTTTTTGAGTTAGGTTTCGTGTGGTGATTGATGTGTTGCTTCGCTTGGCGTGTGTGGCCGGTTTGCTTCGCTTGGCGGTAGTTTGGTCGATCTTTATATTGTGTCTTGTGGCTGGATATGGGTTGGGCGGCACCGTGAAATTTGGACGCGAATTGACTCTTCGGTATTTTGGTGGCTTCGGGGGTGTTGTTGGTGTGATGGGCACATTGTGCGTCTTCGTGGATGTGGTTGCGACTGTGGTTACGTTGCGGCGTCGTGTTGACTGTTGCTGTCGTGCGATGCTTGGAATGGGTTCAAGTTTTGACGGTGGCGACTGTTGTGTGAATGTGTGTGAGAAGAGCTTTGTTATTCACGCACATGCTTGCTTGTTTGCTGTGTGGCTTTCTTGGTTCCTTGGCATGTGGATGGGTGCTGTGTTGGAAAGCTTCAGCCTCAAATCCTGAAGCTCAAATCCCGAACCTTAAGCTTTAAATCTTAAACCCTCATGTCTAAACCCCAACGCCTAAACATTAAAGCTCAATTCCTGAACCCTAAGCGCTGAACCCTGAGATCTTAGCCTTCAACCTGTAATCTTCAAATCCTTAACCCCGAACCCATGGATTTTGTTTATATTTCTGTGGATTTCGTGCACATTTGCATAATATTTGCATTGAGTTTGTGCATGGTTCCATGGAGTTTATGTGTTTTTGCATGCTTTTTGTTGGGGCGTATGTTCGCATGGAGTTTCTGTATATTTGCATGGATTTTGCGCATGGGTTTTGTGTATATTTGTATGGATTTCGTGTATATTTTGCATGGATCGTGTGCATATTTGCGTGGACTTTGTGTAGGTTTGGATGGAGTTTGCGTGTAGTTGTAATATATGCACGGGTTGTGTGTATATTTGCATGGATTTTTCTGTATATTTTGCATGAACTGTGTGCATATTTGCATGGGCTTTGTGTATGTTTGCATGGAGTTTGTGTCTGGTTGCATGGATTGTCTGCATGTTTGTATGGATTGTGTGTATGTTTGCATGGAATGTTTGTATGTTTGCATGGATTCTGTTTTCGTTTGTACTGGTTTTGTGTAAAGTTGCCATATTCGCATGGACCTTGTGTCTATTTGCATGGATTTTGCGTATGTTTGCATGGAATGTCTGTGCGTTTGCATGGAGTTTGTCTATACTGGCATGGATGTCGTGTATGTTTGCATGGATTTGGTATATAATTGCATTCAAGGTTGGGTGTTGGCGGCGAGCGTGTAGTTTCCAAGGTGTGGCGCCGGATTGGTTGGATGTGTGCTGATTTGCTGTCAAGACTGAGTGTTTGTGTGGTTAACGTTGCGATGGCGAGTGTGTTGAACTCGTGGAGTACGCGACTCTGTATGCTGGTGTTGGTCGACGACATCTGTTTTGGTGGGTGGATTGATTGAGCGGTTGTTTTGTTTGTTGTTTTGTTGGTAATGTCGCTGGTCTGTTGCTTGCAGTCTACGTGGATCGATGGGTTGGTCGGCGCCGATGTCTACTTGTTTGTCTGGCTTCTCCTTCGCTTGCGTTTTGGTTTTGCTCGCTTAGTTGGTTCGGGGTTTGGTCCAAGTGTTTGTTGTTTGGTGGTGGCTTTCGTGTCTTGCTGGCGAGGTGGTCGCTTGCTGATTTTGGTTTCGCTGTTGTTTCCTTGTTGTTTTCGTGGTTTGTTGCTTGGGGACTGTGTCGATTGGTGGGTGGTTTTGTTGTATGGCTGCTTGTCGGTTGGAATGCTTGCTTGTTTGCTTGATTGTTGATGGACTTGCTTGGCTGTATTCTCGCTCTGCTTCGGGTTCCTGCTTTGCTTCGTTGCTTGATGCGGATGTGGGTGGTTGTCGTTTTTTTTTTTTTGTTGACGGGTTCG